GTGTGTGTGTGTGTGTGTATACACAGGATGTGACTTTGACAGGGCTTGAAGCCTCAGAGGAGGCAGACAGCAGAGAGGAGCCAGAACATGGGGCTGGACAGAATGACGGACAGAAGGCCTGTCCATCTTCAGCTGACTCTGCTGATCCTGAGTCAAAGGTAATGACCTCACAGACAGGTGAGGGCTAATCTGCAGAAGCAGTTTTTAAGTGTAGCCCAGAGCTTCGGAGCAGATACGTGGGACTTTGCTGCACTCTGCAGACAGAGATCAAGAACTGCAGCTGCAGAGAAGTTGAGAGAACTACAAGTTTGTGAGCTTATAATTTTGTCACTTAAATTACTGTCTCAGAATTTGTTCTGTCTTTTCATAACTTGATGCAGGATCAACTAACAAACTACTCCCTGATCAATTAAAATAAAAAATTAAGTAAACACACCTATTGCTATTTTGGTGATTTCAATAAATAATATGTTGTGCAAAAAAACCCTGTTATGTCTCACAGTGGGTCGTGGGAGCTCAGTGTCGGGCAGTGTGGTCTGTAGATGGGAAGGAGTATCCAGCAACTGTGGTGTCTGTGGATGGCAACAACTGCAGAGTTCATTTCACTGGCTATGGCAATGAGGAGGACATGGAACTGAGTGCGCTTAAGAGTCCTAATGCTACACCACAAATGGAGAACTCACATGCTCAGGTTAATGCACTTTAACATATTATGGCAATATTTAATGGGTTAAAGTGCAAGTCAGTGGTTGTTGTTTACTCCTCAGCTGTAAAAAGCTGATGGGGTATTGACCTTGATCTCTACGTCAGAGTGAGTTTTCTGAAAGTCTTGTTGAGGGGTATCACTGGCAGTTGTCAGTATTTTTAAAATCGTCGTTTAAAAATTCTTTCGATACCTGCTTATTAGTTATTTGAGAAGAACAACTAAAGGCACATGGTAACAGCTGAGGAAGCTCTGCTTGGCTGTGGTATGTAGTCAAAAGATCAATCGGAAAAAATGTCTTAATTCTTAAATCTGCGAGTTTTTTAGAGTAGTGCTGGTGTAAATTTAGCTTAATAAAAGTAGTTGTTTGTATCCACTTGATTGAATACAGAAAACCAGTTGGAATCACAATATACATCAAAGTACATCATTTTTTAATGGTAAATGGCCTGTATTTGTATAGTGCTTTACATATCCATTCACACACTGGTGATGGCAGCTACATTGTAGCCACAGCCACCCTGGGGCGCACTGACAGAG